TTATTTTTTTATTAAGTTAAACATTTCGATCATAATTTTTATGATTTTATTATGTTTGTTTGTTAATTTGATGAATTATATTTTGAATAATAAACACTTCGCTAAATGAGATTCTATTTTAAAATTTCATAAAATATTCATTTTAATACGATTATTGGATTATCAATTTCATGTTTTTTAATCTGGTATTATCAATTAAAAACCCTGACAAATAAATTTTATATTCATAAGCATCATTTAAAAATTAAATCAAATTTCGCTAAATCCATTGTAATAAATGATAAATTATGCAAAACAAGTATATTCGGTGTTATTTTGATATTTTATTATTATATTATTATATTATTTTATTGTGAGCAGGTTAGCTTGTTTTTATTTTATATTTATACTTTTTTACTTTTTTTAAACTAAGCATCAAAAATTACTTTTACTCGAAAATTTTACAATTTATTGAAACTTTGTCGAATACAAAAATATAACTAAATCTTCAAACAACAATTTATAAAATTAAGATTTATATCAGTTCTTGTTAAAATATATAAATAGTTTTGATCAAAAACTCAAGAACTTATTAGAATTTATTTTATGAAATTTTATTAGAAATTGTATTATTTTAAATGGTACACTGACACTGACATTAACATTGTATATTAAGGTGATTAGTGTTCTGAGCATTAATGGTTAGTGTGTTGCAGTGGCGGCTCGTCGTATAAAGCAACTGAGGCCGGGCCTCACATGTTACAATAATTATTATAATATAATTTGAAACTTTCGATACATTACTTATTTAAATATAAAACGTTTTAAAACTAATTTCCAGTCATTCAAAGTATCAAAACATAGAATAACCATTAAAGTTTAAAATATTTCCTTTAAATTTAGCGCACCCCTTCCAACTTTAATTCTGCCCGACCGCTTAATAGGGAAATAGTAATCCCATAAATTTGCGCTTCATATACGACGGAAATGTGAGACGTATATTATACGTCTCACATTTCCGATACAACTTGATGCTCCCCACCGCTGCACGGTTCCGCCGGCACCCCCGCAAGGCGGAGATAATACGCGAATTTTTGTAAACATTGAGGCCCACAAAGTTGGGCTTGTAGCACAGTATATGGAAGACAGCAGAGTCAGTACTGATATCTGTGCGGCAAGCTTATCAGCCGTTGTAAAAGACTGGGCGGGGAATGCTATAGAAAACAAAATTTCTATCTTTGCCTTGCGTTAAAATGGAAAGTGGTGATAAAAATGCAAGCGTAAAATACATTATTGTGTTATGAATTCATGTAAAAATAATTTAAATAATTATAAAACATCATTTTTATTTTAATATTCTATTATATTAACACGCAAATACCACAGTAAAAATCACAAAAAATATAAATAAAAATATTCATGTTTTTTATAGTTCAGTGTTAAATCGTTGAGTTTCATATACCTACTGTGCTTGTACATTATTATTTTGTTGTTGTGAGGTTGTGCTTTTATTAATCTAAAAATAATTATTGTAAGATAGGTAAAAATGAGCAGTACCACCTGGGTAATGTGGAAACCTGCTGAAGGAATAAATAAAAATCCCACTTCGTCCCGCACTTTTTGTATTATTCTAGCTAAATTTTGAAAATTCTTCTCGTGAAAGAACATATTTTTAAATAATATATTTTTATTATTTAGATTCTGAAGTGCTCCAAAAACGCGAGACTTTGAAAATTTCAAAAAAAATTGCCTGCGGTGCCATATAGCGGTTCATGGGCCTCACCTTCATGAATCCGCCAGTGGTGTGTTGTGATCAATGGTTATTGTTACTAAACGCGTCCATATTTAGTCTATAGAAAAAAACATTGTAATTTTAGTAAAATTCCATTATCGTCTCCCAAAATTAATTCACTGGCGATCTCTGTCGACGATCAAATAATATTTTATCATCTTGTAGATATTTCGGGAATTGGCGATCCTGCTGATGCCTTCTGATAACGGATGTCTCTATCAATAAATTTGACCTTTTGGTCGGTTTTCTTACTCAAAACGTTTTGACGTTCAGGCGCAATTTGTGTCGTTTACATTGACTTAAAAAATCATTCAGTTAAAAAATGGAATTGGCTCATGAATATTTCCGTACCATCATTTTTTACTTCAGACATGAATTATCTCAACAACAGTACAACGATAATTTTTTTAAATTTTTTGTTTTTTTTAATTTTTGGGTATTTCCATTGTAAAGCCTGAATTATAGATTGCCTTCCTTCCTTCCTCCTTCAATTTATAGATTTACGTGTAAAATTCCGTAACTATGCGCGATGACACCTAAAATGGTTGACATTTGTTTTTGATTATATTCTGCGTTTTACCCATTGTGTGTAAATATGAAAGATAATCAGCTTGTTGTATACTGCCCAACTATGAAGAAAGGCAGTAACTGCTTAACAAGAAATTTGTAGGAAATTAGCATAATCTACATTTTTATAAAAAGCAGTAGGTATTTAACTGATTTATTTAACTTAAAAGATAGTTTACTGCATTTCTTTGTTGAATTAAGATACAAAATGTCCATAGCTTTATCATAGCACAAGAAAACGCATTTGTAGTTACTGCCTTTCTCCATAGTAGGGCATTATAATGAAAAAAAAACATCGAACAAGACGTTGGAAGACTCGCCCACTTTACCAAGACCGGGAAACTACGGGGTTTTACAAAGCAACGTTTCTAAAAATGAAAGACATTGATCATAAATAATATCTAAATATCCTACCTATTTAGAGACACAAATTATTTAATAAACTGAACACCAATCTTAAATAATACTAAACAATCATGTATTTTTAAATATTTTGTGCCTACGCGCTGTGACCCTACAGCGCATGTCCATAACAAGCACTGTGATTTGTCATGTCAAAGACCTTTACGGTGAAAGATAAAACTTAAAAATTTCTACGGGAGGAAGGAATGCCGTCCTTACGGTACGGGAATTTATAACTGGCACCACGATTTAAATAAACATTTTTGACGTAATTGTCACCATTAACATTGCCCGTTATTAATTTTAATTAAACTTAAAAATATTAAAATAACTTCAAAATATGATTTTGTTAAGAAAATATTTTATTCTTTGATTTTTTTTATTGCTATAATTGCAAAATATTATCAGAAAGTATTAAAAATTCCTACACGGAAAATGTTAATGGTGACAATTACGTAATGTTCATCTTCTACGGGAGGAAGGAAGGAAGGCAATCTATAATTCAGGCTTAACGGGTGCTACACTGACACAACGCAGTGTCAGTGTAGCATCCTTTACAATGGAAAAACCCAAAAATAAAAAAATACAAAAAATTTAAAAAAATTATCGTTATAAAGGGTTTTCTATAGAAAACCCTTTATAACGTCATGAATCGTGTAAAGGGTGCGTCCAAAATTTTGTATATAAGCAAATAGTTATATAGTTAGTGAAAGTTGAATAGTAACCTTAAACAATCACCTATTTTGTATTATTGTATACTTTATTTTCTAAAATTTTCTTAAAATGTAACGGGTGCAACATTTGAATATTTAATCGAGTATTGAAACTCTTTCGTGTTTATTCTTAATGTTAGCTTGTTAGCATCACAATTTACGAATATTTTAAACTGCAGTGCACAACTTCACTCACGAAATATTATCTAGTTTTGACAAAAATGATCACTGTATGGGTATATTTCTAGATCTATCAAAAGCCTATGATTGTCTTAATCATAAACTATATTTAAATAAACTTGAGAAATATGGAGTGAGAGGAAATGCACTGCTGTGGATGCAGTCATACCTCTCAAATAGAAGCCAACGGGTCTTGATTGAAAAGGATGGTCAATCTGTCATTTCAAATCCTCAAACCATTGAAGTTGGAACCTCAAGGCAGTGTTATTGGTCCTATTATGTTTGTAATATATTTAAATGATTTAAATTGTACAGTTACAAAGCAAACTCAAAGTCTTATAAATTTTGCTGACGATACAAATTTACTTGTTAGGTCAAATAAAGCGGAAGTACTAATATCCGAAATAAGACTCTTCACTGGGGTTGTTGAGAGTTGGTTCGCCGAGAATGGATTCATACTTAACAAGGATAAAACCCAGTGTATTTATTATAATATTATAAAGTCAAGGTTTGAAAGTATAAATACAATAAAAATTTTTGACACAACCATTGATTTAGCAAAAAATACAAAGTTTTTGGGAGTTCACATTGATAAAAATTTAAACTGGAAGGTACATGTTGAACAACTTTGCAAAAATCTTTATAAAACATATTACTCCTTTAGAGTAATTCGATCGTATGTAGACTTTCAAACCTTAAAAACATTGTATTTTGCAAATATTCAATCCTTGTTGAGATATGCTATCATTTTCTGGGGCCAAAGTACTAACGTTGGAGATATTTTTGTAATACAAAAGAAGGTCTTGCGCACAATGTTGGAACTAGGAATCATGCAGAGGTATTTTTAAAACAAACAAAATCTTAACCATTTATGGTCTTTATGCTTGTGAACTTGTCTTATTTATGTACAAAAATAAATTTTTATTTCAAGATCTAAAATCTTTAAGCACAAGACACAATTATTTTTATTACCCTTATCATAGGTTCAATCAATATACGAAAAAGGCTGTTTTTATGCATGTATAAAAGTATTTAATAGTCTACCTGCTAATGTCAAGGAAATTAACTACCTAAATTTACTTAAGAAGGAATTGTTTAACTATTTTTGTGATCTGGAACCATACTCCTTTCATGATTTGTTTATTTATGTATTTTTTGACTTTTTTCTTTTTTGTACATATTATTGTGTTTTTTCTTGTAATTTAATGTGCAAATTTTTAAAAATAAACGATATTATTATTATTATTATTTATTTTATTATTTAACATTTAAACTTTTGTAACTGTGCATTTGACAATAAAAGTCTCTAATTCTAATGAGCTTGATAACAAGAACTCCACTTCGATTGGAGAGAAGAAGACACTCACCGTAAACATCCAGGCAACCTTTCTGAATCTTCATTACGCTGGTGTTAATTTGACACATGTAGCATCCGCGATCCGACTCCTTGAGCTGTCTGATCCTGAGCTGCCACGTGCGCAGATTGTCGTGTGTGACGCTGATGCGGCTGTTGTGAGTGACGACTTTCGTGTGCAGACTGAGAATCGTCTGATCTTCGGCTCGCACCCACGCGACCTGCAACAACAACGGAACGTTTGTTACTTTTATTAGGAGTAAGGAAGAAGTCGCGCAAAATAATAATAAGGACTGCATGACTGCTGTTATGTTTTAGGGAGACGAGTTTGTTCGTGCAAGGCGAAAGGTTATTGGAACGTTGTTGCATATAAGGGAATATGCAGTGAATTCAAGATGTTGCTTGAAATTTATATATTTTATAGAATGATTTCTCAAAATGTATGAGAAGCAAAATTTTGGTAAAAAAATGCAAAGTTATAACTTATAAAAAATAACATTTATTTTACTTTTAAAACCCTTTTTTTTTAATAAAGGACTGTAGATCATAGAGAAGTTTTATTGCTTTTGTTGCCATAATACCATACCAAACCTTCAATATTAGTATTTATTTAAGTACCAAGTTATATTTCGTCACATTCCTGCCAAAAATCACTAACATACATTTTGTAAAAATGTTAACAAATTGTACCTAACTTTACAAATTTACCATATCTTTAGATGCCTAAAATATTATAAATGGTCGTTTTTGCATGGTTTAAAATTACTATAGTTTATAAACTGATGGAATAGATATATTTATTTACTAATTTATTGTATCTTTAAGCTCAATAATAAAATGTTAGTAACTATCGCGGGAATATGACGATTTAATGTACACATTGTCCACTTATACACTTTGAAGCTTAATGTATACATGGGTCGTTTTCAAAAAACACCCGCCTTCCGCTGTCCGTAAGTTTGAATTCCAATTACTTCGTTAAAAATTATCGGATCTTATTGATTTAAAAACCAAGTGAAAGCCTACACTGTTTAAAATATCTGTGGTGTAAAAAGTAATCTTAAAATGGTGTCAAAATCCAACACCAAGTGGTGTTAATATAACACCATGAATTATGGTTGAAAATGTGTATCAATCGCGGCAAAGGCGGTGTGGATCACGTGATGTTCTTAAATCTCGCCTCTGTTGACTTACATGAAGAATATATAAACTCAGGTAATCCTTTGCTTTGGTGTGACACTACAAGTTGTTCGATACTAAAGAGACCTTAAATAGGTGGAAACAGTTGTCAATACTTGAAGTATTTTAAGTTAGTGCAACGCACTAAAAACATTATCTCTAGCGAGTTGAAGGTTCCATTTTCTGGAATAATACCACTGGTAATATACTAGTAATGCGTCAAGGAACTTCCTGTTTCCTTTTTTTTCCTTTTTTCTGTGTAGTATGATTTAATTTGTCCACAAACACATAATATTTAACACTGAAAAGGAGTTCAATTTACACCAAGTAAAATTTATTTTAATACTGTGTGAAAGTTAAATTAACACCATTTTAGTATTTGAATTTACACCGGAACAACGAACCTTATTTAACACCATTTTGGTTTGTATCGATATAGACCATGTTTGGTGTTAATTTGGTGTTAAAATGGTCATGAAATTTTGAACAGTGTAACAAGCTCTTAGTTATTTCAGAATAATTTTTTTTTAATTTTGAAACTTGTGAAACACACATTTTCGCATGTCCCATTAGCGTTTTATAAAACTTACATACATGTTTTTTTTTAAACCAGAACTTTGTGTTGCTTTATAGCAATCCATAACATCCTTAGTTAATACAGTAAACACTTTATATATAAAATAATTAATTTTAATCTACTTTTTTTAAATTTGACTCATTTCCCAGACATTTTTTACGTTGCGTTACGTCCGTCGCGTTACCGATAGAATATTAAAAAAACATATATATGGCAACTTTTTTGGTACTCAAGTGATCAACAAATGTTGTTCGGACGTACACATTAACCAGCTGAATTTATTTATTCAATCAGGAAGAAGATATCGGTTGAAACAGGTGCGGGTAACGCGAATGTAATAATTGTTTATCCGCTAAGTTACTCAAAAAAATGTCTTATTATTATTTTTTAAATATGGTTTTTTTGTTTTTTTGTCCACTGCGTTACCGAGTCCACTATGTTACCTTATGGTAACGCAATGGAATTTAGGGTAATGCAATAGAATTTTTCGACAACAAAGTGGATATTTACCGTCGCTTTTATTAAAAGTAGTTTATGATTAACAAATTTAAAATTATTTGTAATTACAGCTCATGATATAGATTACATCCAAGGAAAAATTCCACGCAATATAAAAGTACTAAAAGGGACCTTCACCAGCTTATAGTCAAAGAAAAAGGTGTCTACAATTTAGAAATCTAAGTTGTTATTCTGCAAGTGAGCACCACTACAAGGGATTTAGTTTATGCATTACTCTAAAATCGTATCACCCTATATACTTTCTTTTTTACGTTATCTGATTAAGTCCTTTGTGTAACCCTGTCCGTTGTGATACCTATTTCGTTACTTTTTTTAGTTTTTGGTAAAAAAAATACTTAAAATGATTTTTATTCACTATCACTTGGTAATACGTGTTTATAAAATGACCCACATAAGTCATTTTATTTAGCCTAAGCTTCTGGCGCCCACTGAACAATACCAAAGTTTGTCTTTTCTTCACCCAATGCCCGACTGATTCTAGTTTGCAAATGCCTTATTAAAATAAACAATTTTGTCATAATTTATAATGTTATAACATCAGGACATAACAAATAAGGTTACAAGATGTTTATAAAATTGCCCCATAAATACTTACTTCACCTTTCTGCATATTTATTTTTGAACTTTTTTTCGTTTTCTTTGCAATATTTTTTTATTCTTCCCTGCTGTAGTGCACATGCAACTTGAAAAAACGTATTTGCTTTCGTAGGAAAACTTTGTATTTAACGTTTTTTTTATTTTGGTCAGAGCGTCTTTCGCAGCAACAATAATATCGTAACGATATTATCGTTCATACAGTTTTGATATTTTCATCAAATATGAATAAATTTGCTGTGTAGAATGCTGCCAAACAGTAAAACTACTTCACACGTCTGTTTGTAATTCACTGGCCTAGTCTTGCCCTCTCCTAAATAGTAAAATTGAACTCGGAGGCAATCTAATACACGAGGAAGTCGTACTGTAGAAAACTTAAATAGGACTTTCCAAGAAGCCAGTTGAAGCAGATCTCGTTGAAATTATAATGCATATACACAACTACTCAATGGGTAAAGCATAGACACAAATTAAGATAAACATAGACCACATAATACATATGAGGACCCTAGAATCCAAGGGGTACAAGTAATATTTTTTTTATATCTTCATTTATTTTATAAAAGATTACCACATTGACAAGTTGTGGCTTTATGGCCTTTTAGTCACGGGCTGAAGTTAGTTTTAAGTTAGTTAACAGTTGACAAATGTTATATAATGGTTAAAATAAAGTTCCTTTGTTGTAAAATAATACTAAATGTGAACATTAAATAGTTTCTTGAGGCTAATATTTGAAAAGATTATAGTAGTAGTGCAGTTTACTAGATTTGACTGACAAAGCGTTAAAAATATTGCGTACAGTGCCCATAAAACATTATCTTCTCTTTTACAGTGAACAACTGCTTCTATATTAATTGTTACTCTATTTTCAAGGGATAAATTTTGATTTACGCAGAAAAATTTGAGACTTTTACGCAGGTAGATTTACAAGTTAGAAATTCTAACTGGATTTTCAATAAATACAACTGTCACTTTTTGTACCTTTAACATTTCCCGTGTAAGAATTTTTAATACTTTGTAATAATATTTTGCAATTATAGTCATAAAAAAATCAAAGCATAACATAGTTTCTTAACATACCTAATCATATTTTAATTTTTAAAAGTATCAATAATTGTTAAGTTTAAGAAAAATAAAAACTGGCAATATTAATGGTAAAAATTGCGGCAAAAATGTTTATTGGGATGGTTACTTTATTTTCCTATTTATGTTTTTAGATAATATTAAGTATTTGTCGTAGAAAAAGTATAGTATAGTAATTTAGGCACGAGCAAGCTTGCGAGCGAATGAGCCTAGAAAAGTTTATAAACGAATTGCATATATGCATATATGCAATTCGTTTATAAACTTTTCTAGGCTCATTCGCTCGCAAGCTTGCTCGTGCCTAAATTAAAATCGTGACTTAAATGGGGTTTATAAAACTTAATACATAATATACTATTGTATGGTAACTTTTAATTTTACACTATTATAAGGTAAAATTTGAATAGGTAGTTTGTTTTAATTTAAAAATATTTTGCAGTATTATTATCCAAGTTAAAAAGTGTAATCAAACCACTGCCAACGGTGAAGTAGTGGTCAGCGCTGCTGATACTGTAATATATAATATATTATGTTAGTTATGTTACTATGATTGTTTAAATAAATGTTTTAAATTTTCTGTTTCAAGTTGCAAATTTGCTGCTAACTACAAGCCGAGACATCGTGGGTTCGAGTCCCACATTGATATGGTTATTAAGTAAGGGTGGAACCAAATCAATCAGCAATTTTAAATTTATTTTTAGTGGTATTCTTTAGTTGATAACACGTGCTTGGGATAACAACATTTTAGTCGTAGCAGTGTTTTTATAATAAAATAATAATTATTTTTTTAAATAGTTTTAATTTTATTTAACGTAAGAATATTAAAATGTGTTTATTTTTATGTTTGTATGTTTTATGATTCAAAAAATAAATAAAACCTTTTGATTTTCTGTAATGTTCATTTTACTGAAACCTATACTTACTGGGTAGGGAGCCAAAATCAAGATCCGCCACAGTATAATTTGAGCATTGTTCACAAAAAAAATAAAACATAATAAAAATTTAAAAAAAATTGTGTTTTAAATTTTATCGCTAAATTAACCCATCTTTTGTATTTTATCTGAAACAATATATAGGTCGGTGATTTTCTTATTTTAATCCGGAGTATTTTGAAATAAAAAAACTTTATTTTAATAAAACAAAAATAAAAAGCAGCATAAGGATTTAATATATTTCATACGGGAGGAATCTCCAGGGAATCAGTAAATTTTGTTCTTTGCAGCTTTTTATTTAAAAATATCACATACCAGAGTTGATCGTGTGGCAGCA